CGGAAATACTATTAAACCCATCTCAGATCATTAGGTGGGTCCCAATTGACAAAGACCAAAATGAGCATTTACGAGCTGCATGAAAATATTATCTTCAACCGTAACCAGAAGAGCTAAACGCACTACGATTTTTCTTACTTTCTTTAATATCCTTCCATCCCACCCAATAGCTCAGCCACAAGAGCCAACCAACCAACCAATTATCTGTCTACACAGCTCGGCTCCTCGCTTAGACAACTACCACAGGAGTCCACCCCTTACTTGTCCGGGGAGCTAGCTAACTACATAAACAGGTACCTTTTAGAGACAAAGAGCTCATCTCCTTGGTAAATAAATAGACACGAACAAACAGAAAAACTTTAGCAAAAAACAAGAAGACGAGACAATGAGCAAAGAGAAAATAAGTAATTTGAGTTGAAATAGAGCGTAACAAGTGTTGTAGTAGTTGTAGTAGTAGTAGTAGTGGTAGTAGTAGTAGTAGTGGTAGTAGTAGTAGTAGTAGTAAAAGGAAGATACAATAAAACTCTAGGAATAAGTCCGGGGTTCGACGAATGAAGCCAGGTATACCATTTACACTCCCTGCGCTATGCACCACCATTCAGATCCCGCCTTTACTGCACATATCCGTCCATTTGTACAAAAGTTGGTCCTTCCACCTAGGTCAGAACTTTCAATGTATATCGGGTAACAAGGTCGTCGACATGGTTAACAGTAAAAGAACCTTACCCACCACTCCCAGCAACCAAGGCCCCTTCCCCTAGATGTCCCTTCTAGAAAATCGGCCTTTTTTTGTCTTTTCCATCTCCACTCAAACATTTCCGGTGTAACTTTTTCTTGTCTCTTAAAACAAAAACGTTTCCCCCACAAACACCCTGCTAATCCTTTGGTATCCTCGACTCCCCCATGCCGCGTCTTCAAAAACTGAGCCCACACCCTTAGGAAGTGCCGTTTTTACGTCCTGAGAAGTACCGCCAAGGATGACACCGCCCATGATTTACCGTGCACTACAACATTCCAAACACGGCCGAAATCGGTCATGGTGAAATCGAATACCGAACACTCCGCACGAGGGCCATACGAGCCGAAATACTTTTTTTGCGTTTAAGCAGGTGATTTGTTCGAAGGCGCACCCGCGCCATTCTGACGAGCATCGCCACCACTAACGGACAAACCACCAATACCGGAAGAGAGGAATGCAAACGGATCGTTCTCCGACTGAGACGAGTAGAAGTTATTAGATGGTCCAGCCGAGGCAGGGCCGTTGCTTGCAGACTGGAAAGCAGCCTCGGCTGCTCGGCTATCGAATGGTCCTGCCGAATGCGAGCCCGGAGCAGGTCCGAAATGGGTATTCAGAGACGGGTACGGGGCAGCACCGCCACCAATGCCCGATGGCAAGGCATACGTGCTAGGCGGGCCTCCAAAGTGGTGACCGTAACCACCAGACGCCCCAAATGGGCCGGCAGCCGAGGCAAAAGGACCTGGGCCTGGCGTTCCGGCCATGGAGCCAGAGCCCATACCGTAGCTAGAACCACTATCCATTGGCGAGGGATAGCCAGAATCGGCAACTACTGCAGCGCCAGCACGGCTAGCGCCGCATCGAAGACAACAGACGTTCTTAGCAAAGTTGTGGTAACCACAAACTTCATTACCACACTTCCAATCTCCAGCTCGAAAGGGGACAACACCACTACCACCCATACGACCTCCCCCATGGCCCATATTTCCGTGATGACCACCGTGATGCGGAGGGGGACCCATCATAGCCGGCGGGCCGTAACCATAGCCGTAGCCCATATCGCCTTGCGGACCGGCGCTTACTGCTGGGAATGAGCAACGGAAACAGGCCGTCCGTCTCTGAAAGTTGGAGAAACCACATGAGGGGCATGTCCAGTCGCCAGGGCGGGGTCGGTTCTTACTCGGGGGGAAAGGCGTCAGGATTTCTGCGGCTCGGTCAAGCACACGACTAGAAGACGGTGAGACCTCAATAGCCTTCTCATTCAAAGCGCGACCATTCATGCAGAGGCTCTCGGCGGCCTAAAACGTTTTAGTTAGCGTACAAAAACATGGATACAAGTATATATATATATATATGTAAGAACACACCTCTTCGTGGGACGAAAATACGGCAAAGCCAGTACCTGTGGGCTTGTGTTGTTCCGGGGTACGTAGAGTCCAGAAAGCAATGGGGCGGCCACCAAATTGGGTGAACCAACTCTCAAGCTCCGACTGGGTAGTATCGTGAGGCAAACCAGACATGTGCAGAACCTTACTTCGCTCAGATAGGAATGCACGAACATCAGCACGGGCATCCATAGGACGGGTCAAGACGTCAGGATGCTCCTGGGGTGGTTGAGACTTGCGAATCAGGCCGCGCAGAACCCTGGCAAGAGTCACCGCCTCTTCCATGGCACGTCGAGGAGATGCTGGGGCAAGGGCCTGCAGGTGAAAGGGAAGGTTATGTTTAATCGGGGCACTAGATTGGACGGGTTCGACCTCGAGGGCAGCGCAGATGTTGGAGAGCATCGAAGGCCCGAAGGGGAGGGATTCAGGATGGTGCTGTTGCCATCGTTGGTATTCGGTGCGTAGATCGAATGTCCTCGAGTGTTGCAGGTAGGGTGGGAGCACAACAGCTTTGTCGCGAGCTTCGCGAGGAAGCTGGACACGAAGGTCCCAGGCATCGAGAGTGACAAAGACGAAGTCAAGATTTTGAGACGTCAGGTGCTCAGAAGCGAAAGCATCGAAGCGGTTAACTGCGTCCCGGAAAGTTCCCGCATTTCGTACATGCTCCCATGTCAGTGTCGTAAGGCTAGCTATAAGCGCAAAAACATGTAAGTGTTAGTCTGATGAAGCTAGAGATGCATGTAGCAAGAATGACGATGCACGGAGAGGGGAGGAGGAGGAATAGGTAAAGGGGGTAGTTAATCCCGTAGCTACGACTTACTGCATAAGGGTGTAATAGGTGTATTGATAGGTTTCACGAGTACGCTCTCACGATGAATCTAGCATTGAAAGAAATAAGTCAGCACGCAAAAGTTCCCCTTTATAACAAGAAACTTGTTGATTTCCACTATCCATATCCCATACCTCTTCAAGCGACTTAGAATCTAGGAGGATCCAGCCAAGCTCAATCACCTCTGCGGAATCCTTCGTCACGTAGACGCCGTGTTCATCACAGGTAGTTGCTACATGGATAACGACGTAGCGGTCGATATGAGGAGGTGGAGTCTGCTGGCTCGACATGTTGGGCAGACTCGATGCCTATGATATAGGACGACGGTAGCGGTGATGTTGGTATGTAGTATGTAATATGTAGTATAATGGTTTATAGTACAGTAATTAAAGTCGGACTTGACGCGGCTCGATGTAGTATTGAATGTTACGACAGAAACCTTTCAAGTTGAACTGAGCAGGTTTTAAGAATTTGGAAACCCGAAAAGTTCGAGAGGATCGAGGGTCATAAATGTGGGATCGCAGAAAGGAGGTCAAAGGCGGTGGCCGAGGTGTCGTAGCAACGAGCGACTGGAGCTCCAGTTTGTTTTTTTTTAAAAATGTGGATGATTAATAAAACACAACTAGAAAAGCCTTCAATGCAATGCGCGATAAGGGAGAACCCAACGTCGAAAAAGAAGTTGTGGTTATTCCTTTTTTTTCCCTTTTATCTCGATAGGATTTTGACGTCTACCCAGTTATAAACCAGGCAGCTCCTCGCAATCTCACAATCTCGCAATATTGCAATGCCCCAATATCGAGAAGAAGAATCGAGGAGAGCGCCGGGGGAAGAAAAAAGGAAGAGGAAAAAAGAGAAGAGAGAATAAGGGGGAAAGGATGATGTTCTGGAGAGGGATAAGAGAGAGTGAGTCTGTTGTGCGTAGAAGGAAGAGAGGAAAAAAGAGCACAGAGAATGAGACGAGTCACGACGAACACCTCCCGGGATTGCACAGTTGCGTGGTGGGTTCGGTTGTAGCGAGAGCTGTTGGTTTTGGGCAGTGTGCATAGTTGGTCAATCTCCTTATGATTGATTGATTAATTATTTTTTTTCTTCCCCTTCCTTTCCTTTTGGGTACCCCCTCTTCCCCTAAACTTCCTATTACCTAACTAAGCCAAGTCTCTCCTGCCTCTAATCATTTTAGCCCGGACCCCGAAAGGCCTCTAAAAAAAAATTTAGACCGGGTTGAAGAGCATTGAATTGTGGAGTTGCCAACATACATAGGTACAAACGCATGTAGGCTTTATAAGAGGTACCTACCTCCTTACATAACGTCGTCATCTGCTTACTTAGGTACATTACATGTAATATATCTAGCACCACCTAGGCAAGTCACAAGTTCCGCCTTATAAATATACCTAGGTATATACTTAACGTACTATTTAATTAAATATTATGTCTTTTCTTCTTGATAACTTAAGAAGTAAATTATGTAAAGTTATTTTTATAGGTTAGTTAAGCATTTTTCTTAAGTGTTATTAAGTCTTAATTTAAATATGATATAAAGTACGTTACTACATGCTTTCTTTATTGAAGTATGCCATTACGCCATATACCTATAAAAGAAATATATACCTCCAATACGATCATATGAATGACTATTAACCATTAACATACTGTAGGTATTCACACTTACAAATACTTAGATTTGCGGGGGTCCAAGTGGTGGCTTGGTAGAACAAATTAACGTACGAGAATGCCATACCACCCCAGACTACATGCTTTACGTAAGGTACGCTACTACAGAGCTACGTCATCGGCGTCGTCCCGCATACTGAGACTTAAGACATACAAAACCAAAACAAACCAGTAATTGAAGCACGAGTACGCTAACAGTCGTAATCCCAATAGAATTCCATATAACATACAGCTAAGTAAAATAAGAACAAATTCCGAATCTTTATATTTCATCAACTTGTGACATTCAGCCCCGATCATCAGCAGTGAACGACCATTACTTTAACTACTTATTATAATCGGCTTCTAATTCGCAACCATTTCCTATTTGATCAAAATGGGAGCTGTCTCGGCTATTCTCATCGTCCTCATAACCATCCTTTGTGAGTACCAAGGAGGTCTCGGTGCAGGCACTGGCTACAGGATGGTCTGACCTAACTGCCATCTAGTCCCTCCGATTGGCGTCTGGGCCGTCGCTGGATGTGGCGCCGATCTTCTTATCAACATCTGCCTCACCATCCTTGGGTATGTTGTAATGGAGCGAAAATCTTATTACATAAATTGATGCTGGAAAACTAGCTGATATGCTCGAACAGATACGTCCCAGGTCATATACACGCCTTCTATCTCGAGTACGTCTACTATGACCGTCGAGAACAGGCCAGAGAGGGCCGCTATGCCGCCAGACGAGCTACCGGTGTGTACAGCGACCGCGTGCAAACCGGTGGCTACGGGTACGGCACGATGGTTCCGCCGGGTACTCATTAAATAGCCAGTGTATGAAGAGGGAACGTCGGTTTAATTACAGGAGGGCGTTTTAATTGTGAGCACTAGGGAGTTAGTTGTATGCTTTTGAAAGACACCGGTAGTTAGTACGTCATAGCAGTACATTCATTGATCGAAATAGCCTTGCAGGTTTGATGAAGAGAAGTACTTACATCGAAGTTAACTATTCATTACTATTCGATAGAGTAAAAATTAAATAAAAAGCCAATTTCGCAATTTCGCAATTACATAGAAAATTCACAGAGCGATATGGCATTATATAGTTTAAGCCATCCAAAGACTTGCCATTGATTGATACGTGCGCGTATTAGTACATGATAGTCGCTAGCAAGGTCACCACCAGCCAAGGTAGGAGGGGCTATGTAACGCTGAAACCTACATGACATTTCTGTACATGTACATGTAGGTAAATGGGTAATATGAGTGGATCGATAAATACCATACGGATCCGTACTTTAGCTAAGCAAAAGCCCCTCCTCAAAACATGTAACTTTTACATGCATCTTACCTACCCACCTCTCTACCACTCAAATAGCACCACGACTTTATGCAGCTCACCCTGGTTCTTCGTCCATCTCCTCTCAGGAAATCAAACCAAGAGCAAAACGACAACATTGAACAAGCTCGTCTCCGGTTCGAACCACATGTCCCGCCTACGCGCCGACGAATCATCCTATTTCTTTAGCTCCGACGCAGGGAATCACATCCATTATCTACGAGAACGTCAAGCACTTCCTGTTGGCTGCCACAGCATATCGCCTAATAGTACTTGCAATCGGCTCAGTCACTGGCTTGTCTAGTTTGTTTGGCTCGTCTGGCTCGTCTAAGCATTTCAAACCTCCTCCAGCCTACATATCTCGTATATACACCAAACCTGCACATTATAGAACATGGCAGATACATCGTATCCTTCAACCCATCAACCTCCTCAGCTTCGTAGTAACTCCCCTCCTAATCCCCAGACCAATATCACCAACAGTAGCTCTGCGAACGATAACAATTTACCAAGGCGTTCACTACCCTTCGTCTTCCCTCCTCTCTTTCCCAAAATTACTTCATCCACCTTTCTCGTACCAAATACTGCCGAAGGAAGACCAATCCCTCTCGACGACTCTACTGCCGCCCATCGTACCACTGCCCTACGCCAGCTGAGCCGCTCCCAACCATCCTCCCGCCAACGCTATTCCAAAGCCAAACCTCCGCCTAGTGCCAAGAGCTCAACGGCCGGAACTTATTCACAACCCGTCGTAGTGCGTACATATCCAGGAGCATCTTCGTCGTCCTCTTCGACGGTTAAGGGCCCGGTATCCGTCTCCAGTACCTCGTCTTCACATAATTCATCATATCAGCGTATTAAACGGAATAGCACAATGAAGGACAAGATGCGTCGTAAAGGAACTGAAAAAAGACGTGCAACAGTCGAAGCCAAACTACCGCCTCTTGAATCCTTCACCTTTAAGAGTATCATAGCAGAAATACAGCAGGATGTTAATGCAGACCTCGACCGGATAGCAGAGATATGTGCACGCACGAAATACTCTCTCAGCAACCAGTATGAAGTCCATATCGCCCCTCAAGGATCAGGGCCGGGTTTCCTGGGACCCCCATCTACATCTTTAAGGCATCATACTCCAATAGGGTCTACGCTACAGTCGGTATCGAGCGATGACGAACATACCGTTTCCGTGCAGAGGAAAAGAAGAAGTGCTAATCGGCGGAGAAATACTGCTTATGGTACTCTAGAAACAATTATGAGTTCGAGCAGGTCCTCGGATGAAGACAAGAGCAATAAAAAGCCGGCTGCTGAGATTATAGAGGAAGCAAGTCGTACTACTACAGGTACCAACGACGAGAGCACCAGTGCGGCCAGTACGGAGGCCCAAGCCAGTAGTGAACAACAGGATGACCAACAAAGATCTCTCTCGTCGAAACCAGTTCTACTTGCAACGGCCATTATCGATCGGTCTCGGGGTCAAATACAAAACACTGCTGCTTCCCCAGGGGCACCGGGGGTGATCTTGCTAAGCAGTCCTGCGGAGCCACGGACATCAAAGAATCACCTTGAAACCAAGACATCGCCTATAGGACATACTGGAAGATATTATACACGCGAACCTCTGACGAGGATTCCTCAGGCAGTCGCATCGAAATCCGTAGCTGCGGCAGACATTACCACACCAGAAGAGCCAAAAGGTTCATCAGGTCTCTTGTCCGGGTTCAGCACATGGATGTCCTGGAAGGGAGCAAAGCCTTTTTCTGAGGTAGCCGGAGAAGATCCCGAGGTGCCTAGGGGCTACTCTTCTTACGCTGAAGGTACACTGAGGGAACTGCTCAGGTCAACAGAACAAATTGAGGGTACAACCAAGAAGGATATCAATACAACCACATGAAGTTTCTGCACGGTTTTGTGGCCCTTGGCACTTCGTAGGTACTGCTTTTATTATATTATTATAGCGGCAGGGCGAATGGAAGAAGAAACAAAAGGCGTGCGATGTCATAGCGGTAAGAGTCGCCTCACCGTACGCCTTCAGTACTTTCTCGTGCTACACTTCAGAATAGGAGCTCTCAGCATACTTTTATGATTAGGGAATAACAAATCAACCAGTTAAGAGGAAGAAATAAAGATACCCAAATATGTCACTAAACATATATGTACAAAAGCAATTGGTGTTGTTAAGCCTGATGTCCAACTCAGTTACTTTTAGGCTACTTCGTGCCATACGGTAGCGAAGCTTATATTTCAATTCGCCAATATTTATTGTAGAATGCAAGTCGGTCTAGTTCCTTGGGTGTTGGCTTGGGGTTAAAGTTACGTTAAGGGGCGAATGTTTGATACACTTTAACAGGTTGATCCCAACACCATGATATTCGCAACAAATATAAGAATATATCATTGCAATCATTTTCTTCTCCGTCTAACCATTATCTCGTTGCCGGTCAACACTATTCATATCATCAAGATGTAGATCTCAACATTTGCTTCCATTCTTCTTGGTACTGCGGTGCTCGCTGCACCTGTCGTATAGGCATCTTAATAAATTCCGCCTCGGACGTTAGATCAGATATCTGATTCTTCGCCAGAATCTTACTTCAAGTAACGATGACAATACTGATGCAGCTACCAGATCGGCCCAACTTCAGGCTTGACGCTGACCCTATTGCTGAGCTTACAAAGCAATCCCCCAAAGGAGCCCCAGTGCGTAGGATAAGGCCTTGTAAAACCCGTCGTTTGGTCGGCAGCGCCAGTGTGTCGATGTTGGCTGCTAAACGACCTTTGCTTTTAATTTATAACTTTTATTTAAAAGTATAATGTTATTAGCGGTTTGTTTAAATAGTTAATAATTATAATAAAAAAGACCAAAAAGGGTTTATAAATATTTTTACGATTTAAATTATAATAATATTAAAACATTAAATAAATTTATTAAAATAATAATTTATTTATTTTTTATTTAAAATAAAGTTTATTATTTATATTAAATAAATTAAAAAATTAATAAAAAAATTAATAAAAAATAAAAAGTAATTAATAAATATTACGTAAATAATTAATAAACGTATAAATTAAAAAAGTTTATATTATTATATTTTAAAAAAATTATTATTATTAATATATTTTTGTTTTATTATTAAAAGTTTATTAATATATTTTATATAATAAATATATTTTTATTAATTATTTTATTAATTAAATTAAATTAATTATATTATATTTTAATTTTTAATTTTTATAATTTATTTAATTTAATAATTTATAATAAACGTAATTTACCATAATTAATTATTAAGTTATATAATTAACTTTAAACTTAATTATAAATTATTAATAAATTAAAAGTTTACTAATATATTTATTTTAAAAAAATTAACTTATTACAATTACATTAAAAAATGGCTTATTAATTTAAATTATATAAAATATATTATTAATTTTATTTTAATTAAAGTTATTTAATAATATAAATTTTAATTAAATATATATTTATTATAAAGTTTTAAATAAAATTTTACAAAAGTTTTTTTATAATTACATTTATATTTAATTAAATATTTAATTAAATATATATATAATTATATATTTAAATAATATTTAAAATAACGTATATATTTATTTAAAACTTATATTATTAAAAAACTTTAATTAAAATATAAAATAATAATATAAATTTTATATATTAAAATATAAAATTAAATAAATTATAAAAATTAATATAATAAATATTAAAAATAAATAAAATATATTATATCATTACCAAACCATTGCTTTAACAATGTGACGCACGGACCACATGTTATTAAAGTTTATAACTTTATAATTTTTTAATTAATATATATAAATTAATAAACCATTTTTTTAATAAAGTTAAAATGAGTTAATTTTTTTAAAATAAATATATTAACGGACTTTTAATTTGCCAATAATTTATAACTAAGTTTAAAGCTAATTACATAAGCTAATAATTGGTTATAGTAAGTTGCGTTTACCATAAATTTAAAAGTATAAAAATGTAAATGCGCGTTATATATTATATATTATAAATTTTTTTTTTTAAACTTATTATATTTATTAATAAAATTTAATTTATTAAATTTTTATATTTTTATTAATTTTAATTTATAATAATAATAAATTTGATTATATTAAAATTTAAAAAAATAATAATTTTTTTAAAATTAAATTATTATAAAGTTTAATATAATATAATAAATATAATATAATAAATATAATATTTAATAATATAATTAAAAAAATTGTAAAAACGATTAAAGATTTTTAACTTTTTTAATAGTTTATAATAAAAAAAAATTATTAATATTAAAAATAAACTTATTTTATTTATAAATAATATTAACGTTAATTTTATAATTACAAAAATTTAAATTAAATTTATTAATATTAACGTAATATTTTTAAAAAACTTAAAATAAATTAAAACATAATTTTTTAAAAAAATTAATTACTATTTTATTAACGTTATATTTTTATTTATTATAAAAAATAAAAAAGTAATGTTTTATATATTAAATATTATAATTTATATTAATAATTTAATTTTTAATAATTTATAATTTATTATTAAAAATAAAGATTTTAAATAATATATATTTTTTATAAAAAATTTTAATTTTTAAATAAATATTTATAATTATATTAATTATTACGTTTGATTAATAATAAAAAAAAATTTTTATTTTCTTTTATATTTTTCAGTTTTAAAAACAAAATAATATTTAAAATAGTTATAGTTTTAAATTTTACAAAATTTCAAATTATAATTTTTAAAAATTTAAAAATAATTTTTTAAAAAATAAAATGTTATTTAATTTATAAAATGATTATACATTACGTAACGGTAAATTTAATTATAATAATTTAATAATAAATAATAAATTTAAAAATTTTATATTTATAAATTTAATTTTTAAAAACTTATTTTAATAAAATTAATAATTAAATTAATTATAAAGCTTAAATTTAAAAATAGTTAATTTAAATTTAAAATTAAAATGAAATTATTATAATTTTAAAAAATAAAATTATTTAATTAATAAATAATATATTTTTATTAAAAAATTTAATTATAAAATTTGAAAAAATTAAATATTTTATTAAATAATTGTTAAAGTTGTAAATATTACATAAATATATAGTAATTTGTGTTATATATTTTGGTTTATTTTTTTTAATAATATTTTACGTTTTACGTAAGTTATATATATAGTTATAAAGTTACGTAATAATTATAATTAAAAGCGTATAATTATTATAACGGTTATATTACTTTTACAATTATATTTTAACATTTCATGTAATATATTTTTTAGGTAAAAATGATATATTATATTTTAAATTTATTATAATTAAAATGGTTTATATATTAAATGAAGTAATATTTATACTTTTAAAAATAGTTATTATTTAAGTTATTTAAATAAAATAATATAAAAGAAATATTTGTTAAAAAAGTAAATTTAAACGTAAAATTTATATATATTATTTTAAATTTACGTTTATTTTTTGGTAATATATTTAAATAATTTTTTTTTATAAATTTTATTTATAAAATTAGAATAATAATTTTAAATTTTTTTAATTTAAAAGGTTTATATAATTTTTGGTTTTTTTTTAATTTATTTTTTAAATTTTTTTTTAATAATATAATTTTATATATATAATTTTAATTTTTATTATATTATTTTATTATATTATAATATCTTATTAAAATTAAATTTAATAAAATTAGGTAATTAATATTATTAATGTTTAATTTATTAAAAACATTTTTTATGTTTAAACTTTTAAAATTATTATGGGAAATTAATAAAAAAATGATAAATAATTAATAAAAAATTAATAAATAATTCTTTAATAAATAATAAAAAATTGATAAATTAATAAAAATAATTGGTTAAAATTTATTAAGATATTTAAATGTTTTTAATAAATTTTACCGTGTAAGTTTACAAATACGTAAAAACGTTTACGCGAGCTTGCAAATATATGCATTTTCTTAAATTTTATATTTATTTTATAAGTTTTTGGTTTTTATTGGTTTTATTATTTTTAATTTTATAATTTGTATTTAATAACTTTTTTTTATAAATAACTAATATATTAATTTTTTTTAATATTAATTTTAATTTAAATATACTTTTAATTTTAAGTTTAATTTAATAAATCGAGAAATATTATACCAAAAGTAAATTTTAAAAAATATATATTAAAAAATGTTATATTATTAAATTTTTATTTATTTTTATTATATTATTAAATAAAGTTATATTTTTATTTTTTATATTAACTATTTTTATTAACCATTTTTTAAAATAACGTTTATTTATTCCAATTAATAATATAACTAATTTAAATATATTTACTTAATATTATTTTATTAAATTAATTAAATTAATGTTAAAAAATATATTGTTTTTATTATATTTGTAATTTTATTTAAAAATAATAAATTAATTTAAAATATTTCAATTATATTAATTAATTTATTAAATATTTTATTTATATATATAATAATTATATTTATAAATTAATATATATAAATTTTAAATATTTTTTATTTTTTAAATTAATTAATTTTTTTTAATTTTTTTATTATAATATTTTAAATTAAATTACTTTTTAAAATTTATGTTTAAGGTTATTTTTAAATAAAAATTTTATAATTATTAATTTTTTATATTATTAATTAATATTTTAATTAAAATAAAACTGTTAAATTAAAGTAAAAAATAAAATAAACTTTAATGGTAAATTATTTTTATAATATTTTTTAAAAAATTATAAAAGATTTGGTGGTTTAAAAAAATTTTTATATTAATAATAAAAATAACTATTTAAAATTAATAAAAAAAGGTAACAATAAAAAAAAATTTA